ACATTTGGTAATCTCCGTAGGTGCTGGGCTAATCTGTACAGTCATATTGTATACTTTACTAGAAACATTTGGTAATCTCCGTAGGTGCTGGGCTAATCTGTACAGTCATATTGTATACTTTACTAGAAACATTTGGTAATCTCCGTAGGTGCTGGGCTAATCTGTATAGTCACATTTTACATTCTACCAGCAAAGTTTGCTAATTCCATAAGTGTTTGGTGAATCTATATAATAGCATTCTACACTTTAAATAAAAGTTTGGTAATCTCCATAAGTGTTTGGCCACTCCATGTATTCAACTTCCACATTGTAGTAGAAAGGTTGCTGATCTCCATAGGTGCTATTCTACACTTTACCTACATAATTTACTCATCTTTGTAGAGCTTTCCTTGGCTAATTGACTCCTGCATAAATTGAAGTGTTGTTCTTTTTGATCATGTTAACCACCCCTGATCTTGTAGATTTTGTTTCTTTACTAAAAAGTGATTTTCATGAAGGAATGATGAATTAGATGTCAAGTATATTTTTTTGGTTTGCTACTTCTGATGCAAAATACCAGTTTTGCTGAATCACAGCTCATCGGTGCTGCTTGGAAGAGTGAAGCAAATAAATAAAGTAGGCCTCATATAATGCAAGCAGTTTGTTTGTTTTTGATGTATAGTCCTTTACTCACCACTAAAAACCTAAATGTTTTAGGCTTTAGGATAACATGACATACTGTCAGAATTAATTATCTTATTTCATTGAACTGAAGGGTTACTGATTTCTTTGTTAATTTATTTTCTTCACCAAAACTTGAATTTCAGCAAAGCAAAAATGAAGTAAGTAGAAACTTAATCTATTCTTTTGTTTTCTACTTCCACTTTAGTTCACATTTTGGTGAACAAATTAATGATCAGTTAGTCTGCTGAGTAGTAATGTATAATTAATTGTGATGGTATGACATATCTAAAAACCTAAAGTGTTTTAGGTTATTAGTGGTGAGTAAAGGACTATACACCTAAACATCTCTGAAAAAGTTTATCAGCAAACAATGTTTGACCTATCATCTGGGTGAATAGATATAAGTGTAAAGAATGTGGATCTGTGCTGTTCTTTACAATCATGTTAATAGTTAGTGCTTACTCTTATTAGCACACATACATGTCAACTGACGGGGCTTATCCTTATGAAATTCTTGATTATAGCCAATTGTTGTTTGTGAGCCCTCTGTCTTTATTAGTGTTAAAATACATGATTGTATCCAATTGTTGTTTGTGACCTCTGTGTCTTTTTAAGCCTTTAAATGCATAATTATATCCAATTGTCATTTGTAATCCCTATGTCTTTGTTAACATTTAAACACATGATTGTAGCCAATTTTCATTTGTGATCCCGTACGTCTTTGTTAGCATTTAAACACATGGTTGTAGCCAATTGTCATTTGTGATCCCCTATGTCTTTTTTTAATACCTTTAACACATGATTATATCCGTTTGTTGATTGTAACTCCTGTGTCTTTATTAGCCTTTAACACATGATTGTATCCAATTGTTATTTGTGAGTTTTGTGTCTTTTTACCTGCAGCATAGCAGCTCATAGAATGACCCCGAGTTTTCTTTTTAACAACTATAAACATTTAGGTCATAGCTCCACCATCTCTTGGCCAATTTGAGATCTAATTATTACAGTTTTGGACTTGGAAGGTCAAACCCTTTTGATTGCTATATTTAACGATGTCCAAGGTCTGATAGATTAGTTTACTCTAATTCTGCCTAAAAGAATTTCAATTTGAGTGTAGGCTGGAAGAGATTCTGATGAGTAATAAATTCAAATCGGATATACGTACACCCCATAAAAATATAACTAATATAAAGGAAAAAAAGGTCCCGTAGATTAATTTACTCTAATCCTGCCTAAAAGAATTTCAAATGGTGTGGCTATTTAGGGTTCCCTCTTATATATCATTTAAATACAGTATTATATCCAGTTGTT